TATATATATAATGTATTATCTGAATTAATTCAATTAATTCAGTGAGTATTTCTTCAGGTTTCTTACCCATAGATGAAGCTTTGAGAATGTGCACTCTGCTCCCCAGTTCTGCAAATGCTATATTCTCATTGGCTTTCTGCAGCTGTCCATCATCAATGTCCACACCCAGGAAACAGGCATCCTAAAGGATCCCAATTAGAGCAGGTCATCACATTACAATGGTTTCTAAAAGTACGCTGAAACAAACAAGTGTTTTAGGATTTATTTCATAACTCTTTTGCATTAACTGATATTAAATGTATCTTGTTCTATAAAAACAAAGAAAACAAACAAATAAACAAACAAAAAAACAGCCATTTAACATTTTTATGCTCCCACCTTGTGTTCCTGTGCAGCTTCTATTAAGATGGTTCCCACCCCACACATTGGATCAACCACACTGAAGCCTGGCTGGGCAACAGAAGACAGTAAACAGTAGAATAAAGTACATATAGTATGACTGTAACAACAGGACAACATTACAATGACAGTAAATTAGTGAGGTGCATGCAAATTCTTTATGGTCTCGTTAAATAAATAAAACAATTGTACATTGAAGACAAATACAAATGCTTGCTTGCAATATTTGGCAAAAAAACAATGTTCTTACTTGCCTCAATAAACACTTTTTTTTACATTAAGATAAATTATACATAAAACAGGACTAGGCATCCTGCAGCTTACTTGTATCTGAGCCAGCGAGGCCATGGCCCAGGCTACTGTAGACCTCAGACCTGTGGTTTTAATGTAACCACGGTTAGCCAGAGGACTCCTGAGGGGAAAGTGAAAGCACCATTATTTATCGCTGTATTTTAAATGAAATAAAACCACAAGATGAAACAATTGTAAATGCAACCATTAGGTTTAAATGCAAGCATTTAAAATTATTTTATGCATGACTGTTACTGTAAAAACATTTTTTAGTTTTTATGTGAATGTGGTTTTTTAATAAAAAGTATTAAAAAAAGCACACAAACCAGTAAGAAACACATTATGGAAAAGATACATTTGTAGCAGTGAAAGGGTGTTTAAAGGTTTAATGCATGTTGTATTACTGAATTGTACTTTGAACAACCATCAAACAAACAGTACAGTAAATTAAATGTTTCTAATAATCACCTGGTCAATGGGATCCCCAGCAGGTAGTAGTCATCATTCAAAGACACATTTATCTGCATAAAAAAGTAAAAACTGAGCATGCAGCTATTAAATTTGACACCAGAGTATTTGAGTGGTTTTAAAATTATTGCAATCAAAACTCATAAACGACCCGCGCAAAGATCATTCTATTGTTTTAACTATGCACACTTGTTTGTGGGAAGTTCATGGTAATTTTATAAAATGTAGATATTTTGAGTTGTGTCGGGAGCTTTTGTGTAGCTCAGAATGAATGCATGTACATTATTTGTGTTCAAAAAAATCATTTGTTTCTGAGGTAAATAAAACTCGAGGAAACAAAGACGGCGAGTCTGGGGCTCGGTCCAAGGCAAGTCAAATCACTGACAACACATAAATAAATATAAAAAGACATTAAAAAATAAGATTTACCTCCAACTGAGGATTCTTCAGGTCAACCTTCCAGCCCAGTAGTTTGCTTAGACCTGCACCCATCACTTTGCTTACCTCCTATAAAGATATATATTTATCCTTTGAGCATAAAACTGCATCTTCACTAAATGTCTTCTCGGTCATCATGCCATGTGTTTATGTTCAGGTGTAGGACAAACAAGTCAATGCAAATTAACTTTATTGAATGAAAAATTAGTATTTGTACGCTTTCAATTAAACACATTTAAATTCCAATATATGATGGACACACATAAAATGTGACACTTACCTGTGCACTGAGGCACCTGGCCAGCGATCCACTGCACTTGCTGTTAACTCTAAAAGAAACTGAGATGCAAAAAAACACAGCAATGGTTTGTTCCTCTGAGGTTTCAGGAGTGTTTTACCTTTACATCCAGCAGTTACTTCTCTACTGGAGTGGTCCGTCTTCTTACCATTGTCCACGTATTCAGATAACACGTCTGCTCCCAGGGGATTTGTTGTCCTGTTGCAGTTTTCGACGGTACACTCCAGCCCTGCTGTTGTGTGATCAGACGCACTGCCTTTAAAGATTGGTTCAGTCTTCTCTGTGTCTTTCTCTTCACTACTCTCAATATCAAGATCTACTACATTAGTCACCACACCAAAGTGCTGAAGTCCCTCTTTTCCCACCTCTCTGTTATTATCCTCCTCTCCTTCCTTGTTCAGAGGCCGTGATTCATGTTGTCCGTCACTTCTCAGCCTCTTATTCTCACTCTCCTCCTCCCTCAGCTCTAGTGTTCGTTTCCTAGACTCCAGCGTGCACTTTCCCCCCTCTTCTGTCTGTTTTTCACTCCTTCTCCCCTCCGTGGCAGTGGCGTTTCTGCGGGCTGCCAGCTCCCCCTGCAGGCGGCTCCATGTCGTTACAGCACAGCGCCATCGATTTCCATCCCCCAGCAGTCTGGATTGCAGCACAGAAGAAGCCTTTGCTTTGGATTTGACAGAGAACGCAACAGAAATGTTAGTGTAAAAGTGGCAAAACACAGGATTCTGTAATGATTTTGCCTCCGTTTTCATTCTGTAATGTTGAATATATTCCACAAAATTGCTCACGAGCAACATACACGTTTCTGTAAAAGCATAATTTCTGTAATAGCTGTAATGTAATACCTGGACTAGAGTGAGAGGACAGCTTCAATGGTGAGTCTTCCTTCAACAGCAGAAAGAGCCTCTCTGCAGCTTTCAGGCTACAGACTCTGTCGATTGTAGCAGAGGAACTGAACAACACCTTGCCTGGAATTTGACGTACCTGAAATACAACAACAGATATTTCAGAACTCTTTGATAGATGTCTTGGCTATAAGTTGAATAAAAAAAACTCTGCATTTCTTGAATTAAAAAAAAAAAAGGAAAAAAATTGTATAGGTCTTCTGGACGGGTTCTTCTTTAATGAAACGTTTCGTCTCTCTTCCAAGAGACTTCTTCAGTCTGAGAGTTTCAGGCAAAATTCAGGCTTTTCAAATTTCAGGCTTTCGTTGGTTTGAGAGAGGAGTAAAAGAAGCCATTTTTGTGAAGAAAGACCTATGTAGGGGTCACCTCGAGTGAAGAAACAGGAATTACTGCCTGAAAGCAGGTCTCGCACAGGCCTGAGA